TGCTGCCTCTGTTGGACGGTCAGGTACACCGACGGATAGCCAATCAATCTGTCTTGGCCTGGAGCACAACAGATCACTTTGTTCATAAGATTCACTTCCTTAGAAGAGGAAGACACGGCACAACAATGAATCTATACTTGATCGTTATCTCAAATCATTTCCATCTCATGAGATTAATCCGAATTACTCCCGAGACTTGAAGTTCTTGGTCCAATATACTAGTTTGGATGAGAAAATGGAATTGAAATAAGATTACCATGGATGATGTTTTCACTTATATGGTAGCTACCGACATAAATGAAAAACGACAATATCAAACTGTGTTCCGTTGATTAAGTGACAACGTAGAACTGATTGGACAACCGAAATTATAATCCAGATTAAATTCCTTACCAAAGTGTGTTTTGGACCTATCACTCCTACACTGCCCAAGGTAACCCTGTTGTGTTACAAGTAGGAAATGAAGCGTAATGAGATGAATGAAATAGTGTGATATGATGCACGCCTTATGACGCAAGGTTTCTCTCAAACGTCTTGTGATTGATAGCAGCATTATGAAATATGGTTAGTGTTTTCTCCATGGGGATATAGATACGGAGATTTACATGTATGTTCCCGAAAAATTTATATGGACTGGTTCAAATAGTTCAAAACCACGGAACACCCTCTTAACCTATTTGAGGCGTTACTTATGGATTGAAACAATATGACGGATATGGTATACCCGTCTAAGTGATTATTTGACCAGTCATGGATTAAACGAATGCCCTTGTGTGTTAAACTATGAAGTCTTATTTCGAATTGCTAGAGTTACAATTTATGTCGTTAACACGAATCTTACTAAGACTCTAGAAGAGCTTGAGAAAACTGCATTGCACCTGAAGATGGAATTTGAGATGAAGGATCTTAGGAAAACTCGTTTATGCCTTGACCTGAAGTTCAAGCGTTGTTCTGAAGGTAACTTGTTATACCAGTTGAACTACACCTTAAATGTGTTATCTTGGAGTATACCCATGATCGTCCATACGTTATATGTAAATGAGGACCCTTTAAGAGGTTATGGAATTCGAAATTCCATATCTAAGTTCAACTTTGCGTTTCATTGTACTTAGCTCATTGTATTAAACAAGACATCTTCTTTGTTGTTGATCTATTGGTAAAGATGCAGCACTGCGCCTACACGCAACCACTGAATTGATATTAAAGACGTACCCTGAAGGTACTATGAATTTGGGAAAATCCCAACACATCCCGAGCGAATCCAACCCTTCTGATCCTCAGAATGATGCTTGTCTTGCTTGTTATGCTGACATTGGTTACTTATCAAACTCGCATAAGGCAAAATCCATGAATGGTTATGTCTTTACCGTTAGGGATATCTCAATATCTTAGAGGTCCATGATATGACCTTAGTTGCGAAACCTTTGGATCATTCCAAGACTTACCTCACTTCACTTCCCCACAAGTGAGACATGGTTAGGAGTTCTTGTTGAGCATATTCGAAGTACTTAATGTTTTCATCCATCGTTAAGTCCCTACGACAATCCATGAAGACTATGCCGCATGTATCAACCAACTTAGACATGATACATCAACAAAGTCAACGCCAAGATATATTGCGTCTACATCACATCAGCAAAGCATCAAGAGATTGAAGTCATGCAAGCCGATCCCAAACAACCTTACTAACCTCTACACAACGTCATTGCCGAAGTCAACCTTCCAGAAGCTTGTCCGAGGAATTGGTATGTCTAACTATTCATATGCAATGCTTATAGTTCTCATTTGAAAGTTCTGTCAAACTTAAGGGGAGTATCCAGAAATATACTCACTTGATCTTAATGTACTCTTTTTCCCTACGATTAGGATCATTTTTTCCATTGGGTTTTTGCTACCTAACTAGGTTTTGATAAGGCACTCATCCTGGGCTGATCATACCCTTGTGAGCTCTTTTACTTGCGTCCAGAAGACATATAGTTTTGACTTAATGAAACTTTTCACTTTTCTCTTTAATCTATAGGTTTTTCTCCCACCTTAGGTTTTCCTATAGCGAGGTTTTGTGAGTTTTACCTTTTTACGCATTCTTCCATTGATTTAAGACTCACATTCGTTCATTGTGCCGACGACTTCATCAACTGTACTTACTTCATCACTAGAGACCTGATGCACCATTTACTTTAGTATTTACACACTCAAGGGAGAGTGTTACAATCCTATTAGATTAGGAATGTGATTGTGTAAATCCTAGTAGATCTAGGAATATCTCTTATATTCTTATTAGGAGTTGATTACCTATTAAGAGATGTAATCCTAAAAGGGTAAGGATTTTAACTATCCTACTACTATAAATAAAGGAACAATGGGGTGGAATAGAACACTCCTCACAATTACTCATCTCTCTCTTTCTCTCTACTATTACCTCACCCCTCTCTCGATGACCTCCATAATTGTTCAGTAAATTATGCCTACAACAAATTCCCAATTATTTTACCTATATTTTACATAAAAATGTAGGTAAAATATGCATACTGTAAATTATTGTCTTAGTCAACTCTTGAAAGAAGCTACAGTTTTTCACTCCCACAAATAGTTTACCTACTATTTAAATTTTAAAATGTTAGATTATATTTGCAAAATATGTGATTTGTCACCAATAGAAAATAAATATGTTAATATTTTTTTATAACAAGCGATATTATTTACACTAATGGGGAGGGGGTAGGCTTAGCCTCACAACGGAGTAGCAATAATGTGGTTCATATTCACCTTTGGCGAGAATCGAACCTAAAACCTCTCACTTACAAATGAAGAGGAATACCACTAGACCGTAGTACTAATTTTCAATCACGCTAATACTTAAGTAATAATCCACTTATCAACAACTATATCATATGGTTTACAAAATATGGTTTGAAATTGATTGTATCCCTAGCATTACCCAAAAGATTCATTGACATAACTAGGGTAGTATGGCATAAGCCGTACTTAACTTCTAATAATAGGTTACTTATTTTTTTTCGTTTGTAAACCATCTAACGTGGTTGTTAATGATTTGATTATTACTTAAGTGTTGATTAACATGTTTTTTTTTTTTTTCTATAGATGAGTTTATGTTTAAGAGCTAAGAGTTACAAGGGTCTGCCACTTATTGCTACACTCTAGTAGTATTTCTATTTACTTGTAAGTGATAGGTCTTAGGTTCGATTCTCGCCAAATGCAAAGTTAAACCATATTATTATGACAAGCCCATTATAAGGTCAAAACAAAACAAAACAAAAAAAAAGAGTCAGAAGAGCCTATCTCTAATGAACCCATAAATATATTACCGAAAGAAGGAGATCCGAATTTTGGGCATATTCTAATATTTGGTAGCGATATGTTACTTGACTAAAAGTTTAGTTGTTTTTTTTTTTCATTTGATATAGAGGTTATTCTTTTGTGTTTGTACAAGCTCTATAAATTTGGGGTCTCTATTTTCCTCTAGTATAAACGCTTTTTCGATTAATTACATCATCTTTTTTTATGCGAGTCCCTTATCAAATTCCGGGTGGCATTTGATTGCAGGTCAGATTCTTTATGTCCTAACCTCCTTTATCAAAATCAGTTAAAATTGATGTGAGAAATGACATACGCATTATCTTTTTTTCGTTATTTTCATTTGATTTATCAGATTTAATGACCAAAATACGCTTCAAATAATTTTCACCTTGTTTACTGATTTTGATTTAGATGCTTAAAGATTAAAAACGCGTTATGAGTAATTAAATATTATATTCACAGTCATTACTAAAACATGGATTAATCTTGTATTATCAAAATACATTTTTTAAGACAAGAATATATAAATATCATCAACAGTAAAAAAATATAAGAAACGTGGTCAATAAACTCGTCACATAAGAATGTCCAAGTGGTCCAAACCTTTTAACCAATAAGCAAATACCAGCACTTCTTTTCTTCCACACAAACGCGGCTGCGGCTGCATCTGATGTTCTAGAATCACCAATTAAAACCTAAAAGCTATATCTTGTTCCAAAAAAATAAAAATAAAAAGCTATAAACAAGAAGCAGAATCTACCAGGAAATGGGGAAGTGGGAGTATACCAAGGTCTAAAATATCGATATTATCTCGATATTTCTATCAAAATTTTTGTGCTTTTTGACTACCGATATTTCCGATATCATCGATATTTTAGACCTTGATATGAACTCTACGTGGTACTAAGTCACTCATGTATCTTACCATACAATATATAATGTGTAAAATATTATACTAATTCATTATATATAAATGATTATGGTGTGTTTAAACTTCTTTCATTAATTACTACATATTTTCTACACTCACAATGTTTGCCAGCTTGCTATATAATCAACTTAAATCAGTTAAATGCATCATGCAATGTATTTCCTTCCAATTTTTTGTAATAAACTAATATATAATTGACTAAATAAACATCCTGCAAAGTTTCAATAAAAATTTCCAAGTTTTTCTTGCAATTTCCGTGGTTTTTATTCAATTTTTATCGATATTGATAATATTCCGATATTTCCATAGAAATTTTTGTATTTTTGAACTACCGATATTTCCGATATCATCGATATTTTAGACCTTCGAGTGTACCAAATTAATAGTAAATATTTGGGCGTAATCACATATTGTTACTAATTCTTTTATAACATAAAATACGCATTTACGTAATATGTCAAGTTTTTAATGTATTATTGTTATCGCCTATTCATATTATGATCTATAAATAAATAACATCACGTAACAATGTTACGAAAACAAATCACAAAGAGAGAGAGAGAGAGAGATAGAAGAAGTTGAAGTGGTCAGCATAGACCTTACTTTTTCTATATGCAGACCCATAGATGGGTCAGGGCTGAATAACTCGGTTTCTCAGTCAAAACTGCAGACTTTCCAGTCTCCAAACTTTCACTCGGTTATTCCAACAATTAACCGATGTTATATATACAACCTCTCCACTTTACCTCTAAATGCAACTCTCTCTCTCAGTCTTTGCTTCTGCAGCTCCACTACTCTCATCTTCTTCTTTTTCCCATTTCCTCACTCCAAATTTTCTGGATACCAATTCCATGCGTCAACCTTGTTACTGCAAACAACATTTCGGAGCTTCCGAACTACTTGGCTTCTACTCTATCTCGGAGTCGGGAAGATTCAGTGTGATGGAGATGTGTAAACACTGCTCAGAATCTTGCATGGGACTTGTAATGATTAAGAGCGTCTGAGGTCCTGCGTTCAAATCCTCTCTTCCCCAATATCGCTTGTATCATAAACAAACGACATTGCTCGTAACCCAATTGACTTATACGGGTGAAATATGGATTCTAGTAAGAGCTGGGACCAGAAGTCACTGGTCAATGAGATCATTGAAGGACTGGAACTAGCAAAACAGTTGAGGCTAAGTCTGAACGCAAAATCGTCATCAGACAAGAAGCAATTTTTAGTGCAGAGGATACTATCGTCATACGAGAAGGCCCTTCTGATGCTGAAATGTAGCGGTTCGCCACAAAGTCCTATCGGGGCAATAACAAGCGTGCCGGAGTCGCTGATGTCAGCCAGCGCAGGTCCTTCTTGCGATGACAACAACAGAAGTCTCCAGGATCGTCATGACCTCACAGAGGTCTCCAAGAAAAGGTGAGACTGCACTAACAATAACGTATAAAACTGGCCTCATTTGGTGTCAAGGATTATACTGGATAACGTACTAAATTCAATACAATGTTGAATGAAGAAACGGACGCCAACTTCCAAGTTGAAGGTAGAAGATGGACTAGCGACGAAAGAAAACTTACCCTTCCAATTCCCATGGTAGGATTGATAAGTTTCTTTGTCACGAATCCATCTGGTGAGTTATCCAATCCGTTCTAATCCTAACCACCAAACGAGTGTAATCACAAAGAACCAAATGCTGATTTGGATTTACATATTGCAGAAAGGAAATGGCCAAATGGACAGAACATGTCACGAGAGCTAGCTCTGAGAATGGGATGGAAGGAGCCCATGAAGATGGCCACTGCTGGAGAAAATATGGGCAGAAAGACATCCTAGGAACCAAACATCCGAGGTAAATTAAGGATATTGTTTTATTTAATCAGTTAATCTTATCCTGAGAGGTCGCACTTGGTGCGATGGCAAGTGCCTTCGCCCATAAGCGGTAGGTCTCGGGTTCGAGACTTGGGAGCAGTCTCTCCATAAATGGGGGTAAGACTAGCCGACATTCACCTCTCCCAGACCCTGCGTAAAGCGGAAGCCTTGTGCACTGAATACGACCTTTTTAGTTAATCTTATCCTGCTGCAATCATTTGCAATAACAGTCACGAAGCCACGTGTTGAAAAGCGACATAAAATACATTACATTTTTACACGTCCTCCCACAAAACGGAAGACTTTGATAAAAAAAATTGAACTTCCTTGATAAGTAGGAAACAAACTCGTCTTCTTCTGCAAAATAGAAAGTTTCACATTGTTATGAACAATTCTGATGATCAATTTGTTTAAATCTGCAGAAGCTATTACAGATGCACGTACCGGAACTCGGAAAGTTGTTGGGCTACAAAGCAGGTGCAAAGGTCGGATGAAGACCCCACTGTCTTCGAAATCACGTACAAAGGGAAGCATACATGTTCTCATGGCCGCAGTTCAGTTCCACCGCCACCATCACCAGAAAAGCAAGAGCGAAAACGACACAATCATAACGATACTTATCAGCAACAGCAGTCTCAAGGAAACCAAATCAGCTTCCCAACTAATCTGAGAGTCAATACTGAGAACTTGGACGACAGAGAGAACACGGCTTCTCCATTCTCTTTTACTTCAACTTCATTCGGATGTATGAACAACGATGACGCCTTTCTTTCATTAATGCTTGATGATAACAGTCTTTTGGACAATTTCAATCAATCATTGCTATCTCCGGCCGCGGGCGGATCAAACTATTACTTTGAGCCGGCAAGCCAGATGAGAAACATTGCAGGAAAAGAGCAACGTTCGGAATCTGATCTTGCAGAGATCGTCTCAGCCAAAAATTCGTCAACCAATTCTTCGATTCCGGACATTGATTTTTCACTGGAGCCAGTGGAACTCGACTCCTATTTCCCGTTTGACTGCCCAGGATTTTTCTTATAATTCTACTTGGTCTTTGAGAATAAGAATAAGTAGCATCAAGACTGCCACTAGTTTGTTTCACATCTTGAATCAACCCATGTAATATAAAAGAGGAAGATTTCTAGTAAAAGATAACAGCTTTCTGTGATGTTGGCCATGGGATAGGTTAGCCAGGATAGAATCGACGAGTGTTTGAAGTTTTTTCCTTTTCAAATTCCAATTGAGACGTTTTGGTTAAGAATATAGTAGCAGTTCATACATCACATCTTATATTCAAATAGGATAAGTGAAGATCCTTCAACATTTCGCTCAAAACATAACAAACTTTCAGAGACTCGAAGGGGCGGGTCATGTTCTTAGTTAAAAAACAACACAACAGAATCAGAAAGATAAGGATATTGTAGGAATATAAGCAATATATATGACTGTAGATTGACGATATTCAAGACACCACCCAAAAAAAAAAAAAAAAAAAAAAAAAAAAGCAGTAAAGGTTGCAACTCTACATACAGTGAATGAACACAAAGGAAAGCCGTCTGCTGCACCTAAGCAGAAGTTTTGGTCTCGTCCTTCAACCCGGGAATAGGAGTTGATGTTCTTTCTTCTGCATCCTCAGCTTTTCTAAGAGCTCCTCTCAACCCCAACACAATAAAAATGTTGGTCAGAGTGAGAAGTGCCTCAGCCCCACCATGTAACCAATCGACATTCGCCAATGAAGTGCCATAGTTCACCTTTGCTGTTCAGCCAAATAACCACAGTAAGCAAGGCATCGATTCATGAATTTGATTGATATGAAATGCATAACGTTCTCAGTTTCTTAAACATGAAAACTTACCATAAATTCCAGCAGGAACTGCTCAGTTGATGAGAGGAAAGCAAACAAAAAAACGACGGATGTCAGTAGATCGAAACTGAGCGGTTAACAGTAAAGAAGTTACAATATTAGGCCAAATTCAACATGAAGCAAAACATTCCAACTGGAGTGAGTTTTTGGAGGAGCAATTGAATGTGCTCATAGAAACCCAAGCATTGTCTTTTCGGTTTGAGACAACCTAACATGCAACAGGGACACCAAAGTGGCGGCATCCTATCCTAAACCTATCACGCAAACGTCATGTCTTCTAACTATTTCAATAGCATCGCTTGAATGGTATGGTTCACAAAGCATCGCACGAATGGTTTGAGATATCGCAACCTTGGCGTCTTCATTTGCATATAAGTTCTTCTCCGTAAACAGACCAATATGCAATATGGAAACCAACACTATGTTAATTTGTTTCTCAAATGATCAGAAATTAACCACATGGACATGGAGAGCTTAACAATGCTAAATTAAGCAACCCAAAAAAGGATTAATTATCAAAAACCCAGGAAGCCATAAAAAATTCAAAAATAAAAAAGGTAATAGGAAGATTGGAAAAACTCACTGGTGGCCCCCACAAAGGCAAGCAAGAAGTAGAACCCGAAGAGGGTGAGCTTCGGGGCAGACTTGGATTTGGTGATGAAGTACAAGAAACCCAGGTAGGGAAACAGAGAAGCTGCAAACAGCTGGGAAGCTATGCTCTGTGAATCAATGCTGGGCGCCCATGGATCAATTGGGAATACCACAACCCCACAGACAATCCCACCCCCACCTCTTCTGTTTTTACTGCCGATCCTTCTCTCTGTGTAAAACTTGGATTCTCTGTTTCTGGAAAATGGGTTCGGTTCGGGGCTCCTAGAGAAACAAAAGGAACCCAGAAGAGTAGGAGGGAGAAGAAAGGCGGGGGATTTACAGAGAGATTGAATGCAGGTGATAGTCATTGAGGAGAGAAGAGAGAGAGAGGTGGAGTTAGTGTTTAGAGCGGGTGTGGTAGGAGATGACCGTTTGGATGTTGTTATCATCAAAAGTCAGTGTAAGTGGATAGGGCTTTGAATGTGGACTTCTAAAATGTCTTGGCATTAACCCGTTGGGTTTCCTTTGAAATGGGAAGGACTTGTATGTAAAAGGCTCACGTCACGTGACGTTCTAATTGAATAATGCATTGTTACGTAGAAAAAAGTTTAGACATACCTATGAATTGTTGAATCAAAATGTCACGTTGTGTTAAATCCGTTGTACGTAAATTGTTCTCTCACACATGTTGTTCAGGTATTCGATGAAATGCCTAAATGGCGCTGGGCAGTGCTTGCGATTAGGGAAGAAAATAGATGAGATAACACTGTCGACCCTGTAACCTAATGTACGTTCAGAAAACAATACCGATGTCACACCGTCGTCCTACAGCCTTGTTCCTGTGCGGTCACATATCAAAATTCGACCCAACAACAGTTTTGTTTTGAGACCAAACATGAAAACTAAATTACTATTTCAATTCAATGATGTTTGGAATTCCCCATTCATTTGTTTCCCTCTTTTACGTTTCTAAAGAAACAAGCCGTACAAAAGAGACAGCCGAAAGCGAAAATGATTCCCAATTTCCCACATCAAATTTCAATTGTGAATCATTTGAACCAATATGTAAAGTTACAATCAATAACGTTCAAACAGTGAATTCACTAACATGTAAAAACCGAGGGACTACGACGTGGGTTCAAAAGTAGCCTCTTCATGCCAAACTCCGTTCAAACTAGACTGCCATAACCTTACTGACCCATCATTCCCGGTGGTCGCCAAAGTCATTCCACTCATATCCCATTCCATCTGCCAGACCTGATCACAACATGAAGACATCAATCAATTAGGAAGGTTCATAGCCTTGCTCTCTGATGTAATAAACATTTTGCCCTCTTAAGCATCTACAATCGTATGCCCAACACATACACTGTTAATATCAATTTCCGTTCCAAATTAATTGATTGATAACATTTTCGATAGTTTTATTATTACCTCGCCTTTGTGACCCGAAAGTACTGCAATCTTCTTCAATGAGAGTCTTCCATTTGAGTCAGGGTTTAGACCAAGATGCCATATTGATATTCCCTTGTGAGTGGCAATAGCAATTACCTCATACGGCCTGAACAAAATTTATACAAATCACTCTGATATAAAAATAAAACGAAGCCATTTTTTCCAATTTTATGAAGACATAAAACAGAAAATCTCAAATTCCTAATCATTAGTAAACAGTGTTTGCATGAGCAATGAGACAATTCCCTACCTTCCAATGTTCGGTGCCCACACAACTGCATAAACCTGATTATCGTTGTCACCAGGCGAGGCCAACTCTGCAACCGGGAGCCATCTTTGATGAGCCTGATCAAATTCCCATACCTGTAAAGTACAATCATAAGATTTTGTACATAACAAAATATATCAAACAAAGAAGAAGTCATATATTTAAGGAAGGAGACATACAACACCTGCAACATTGATGTGGCCTGCGGATGTAAATGAATGATAAAGAAGAATTTATCATACCTTGGCGGAATTAAGTTGTGGTGTGTTTGAACTGAAACCCAAAACAAAACTTGATTCCTGGCTTTCTCCTCTTCGTGGATTCCAAGATATAGATGCAGATAAGCACATGGCAGGGCCAACTGTAGACACCGAATCAATAACATTCTGAAATTCCGCCTGGACAAAAAGATCATGAAATAAGGTCAGAGAGTAGTTGCAGACTGTAAAATTCTTTAAGGAATTGTTCTAAACTGGAGAAAGAATCTTAAAAACTAAAAGGGTGTAACCATGTCAAGAAAAGCACACAGGAGAAAGAGCCCCAAAAATAAGAGAAAGAGCAACAGAAACAGAAGCTCATGGTCCATTCTCATTCATAAAAACAGGTGAAGGATTGGGGGAAGAAATCTCCTGTCGTCCCTTATATATTCACAAACCCAATGCATCATTCTATACAACTAGAACTTACCTATAATGGTTCAGGTTTGTGAAAAAATAATCATAAACGGAAAATTCAGTAACAATTCAGCTGCATTGTAAAATTATAATAAAATTACATGCTCTAAGTAACATTATCAGACTGAATCAGATAAAATGATCCACCTGAAGTTGCCAATTCTTCAGTTCCAAGGGATCCAGTAGCTCATAAACCTTGACACGGCCATCTGAATATGCAGTGACCTATAAAAACGAAACAAATTAAAGTTTGTCACCTTTCACTCTCACACAGTCTCCATTGAGCATGTTGTACAGGGTGCCAATTGAACGTAAACTAGAACCTAAATCATATTAGATGAAACGAAAAGAAAAAAAGTCAGCAATCCGAAGCATAACTTTTCACTTACAAACTTAGATTTTAGAAACTGTAACCGCAATGCCAAAATTAAAGAAAAGCAGTAGCAGCAACAAAAGCTAACCATTTTTAAACCTGCCGCTGAGACTCCAAACTGGGTATCTAGCAGTTGAGCCGAACCGCCGTTAAAGCTTATGCACAGCTTCCATTGAAGAGGTTGTGCATCTAGACAATAAAAAAAAAAACCGTAAACTTCAATCAGATACGATGCGCAGTGAAATTCCTATACCCAGTTCTTGGTAATGGGTGATTCAATATGCATCAGGAAACACAATACGCCTCGAAAACAAACTCAAAAAGCATTGTCCTCACAATTCCCTAACTAAATTAAACTGCTTCAGTTAGAAAAGATTATAATTTCAATGAAAATACCTTCAGCTACTTCCTCCCACAATAACAAAGTCCCATCTGTGCAAACACACGCCACTGCGTCACCGTATTCCGGCGGAACCCAACCAATTTTCACAATGCCAGCAGCCTCGTGTACCTAAAGCAAAAACAATCATACATTTCAAAAACAAAAACACAATCTTTTAAGTGGAATAGAAAATTTCAACAGAAAAAAATTAAAAACTAATGGGCTAATTCCTGAAATGTGGAATCAATTCAAGCAGGAGGGAATTAGGGACCTTGGATTTTGAGGTGCAGGACAAGGAGGAAGAGCAAGGGTCGCGCGAGTCGAAGACGGTGAGAGTTCCGTCGACGGAGCCAGTGGCTAATCTCTGGCCGGAGTAGTTCCAAGAAGAGCAAGTGGTGCCTTTATCGAGCGCCACCAGAGGTTTCTCCATATTGTTATGAACCCAAAATGTAATTGAGGTTTATACTTGAATTTGAATTGTTAAATATGCCAGCTGGCATTTTAAGGAGTATAGTCTGTATAAAAGGAGCCCAGCTTCCTCTAATAGGGAGAACAGAATTTTACAAAACAAATCAATACAAAAATATCGGAGCTCTGCTCCTTCTATCTTCCTCCTTCCTTCTCTTCTATGTGTAATAGTTAAGGTTTGAGTTAGGGTTTGAGATTTGGGTTCTAACAATGGTATCACCCATATCGATTCCTGGATTCCCTACTGTGCACACCCGCCGATCCGCTGCTACTTGCGACTCTGCCTTGGCGTCCCGTCTTGATGCCGTGGAGGCTTCCTTGGCGGCTCTCATCGCCTCTTTACCTTCCCTCATCGCCACTGAGTACGCCAAGGCCTTCGACAATGTCTTTGATGCCTCTTTTGAAAGATTTCGTTGGGGAATGCTTTCTCGAGGTGCTGCGGTAGGCATCTCTGCCCCTCTTGCCATTGATCATCATGTTTCTCCTGCGATTGAGCCTATCCAGCTACCTCGGAGCCCAATTTGTGCTGAAGGAGCCCAATCGCAGCTTATTCCGTCGGCAATCCAAGCTCCACCGCTGCTCTCATCTTCACCGTTGTTGCGAGCACTGTCAACTTCGGCCGTCAAGCCACACTCGAAGCACCCCGCAGCAGCTATAGTTTCATTTACGAAATCGAAGACGGGGATTCATACTTCGATGATGACCTCTGCTCCGTCACTACTCCATGAGCACCCGTTCTCTGATACTACGAAAACTGGACCTGAGGTAGTTCTTAATTTGAGTATCATTTTAGCAACTTCGGAGGCTACATTCCCTTCTCTTTTGACTGATTACTACGGTGCATACCTGAAAGATAAATTTGGATGGGTTAATTGGTATCTTGTGGGTAAATTTGTGAAGAAAAATTTATATGCATTTGATCTGTTTGATGAAATGTCTAAGAGACAGAATGACAATATGTTCATTCAGCCACTGGTTCACAGTATTGAAGTTCTCCATCTCGACTATCTTGCCATCCAGCTCCATTATTTTGACTTAAATTGCTACCTTGGTTTTGAATATGGAAGTACAATTGCTTTAGGTAGAGTTTTTGTGAGGGGATGGGCAGTGGCTGCCAATGAGTTCATTGAGCTCTTATGTGAATTAGTAGTATCTAGACTTTCTATCATCGCAGAGCAAATGGAGTGTCTGCCTAGTCTCAAAGAAGGAATTGCTAGTTTAATATTTGCCTATCCCAGGTGTTCTGAGATTTCTGAACTGATCGCACTAACAAATGTGTTTGAGAAAAAGCATGGTAAAGATTTTGTATCTGAGGCTGTTGATGTACGTCCCAACTGTGGTGTGAATCGCATGCTGATTGACAAGCTCTCTGTTAGAATCCCTATGGGCGAAGTAAAGTTGAAACTCCTGAAGGAGATAGCCAAGGAATACCACGTTGAGTGGGATACATCGAAATCTGAACAGGAGCTGTTCAAGCCTCCAGAAGAGCTTATACAAGGATGCAATTTTGGTAGTACTACCAGCATGCCTGTGCACAGTGTGCAGCCTCAATCTGTTAAGACTAATAAACCAAACATTAGTTCTTCACGCAGGACAATTGGTGGTGAAAAAGGACATATGCAGTTTGTAGACTCAGCATCAGCTGCTAAAGCAGCTGTAACATCTGCCAATGATGCAATGGCTGCTACACAAGTTGCTGCATATTGGACCAACAGAGACTGCAATCAGGACATTGATATTGTATCTCTCAAAGAAAGAAAAGAAGCCTCCCCTTTGAGTTTGACAGTTTCTTTACGATCAAAGCATGTGGGCAGATTTCAATCTCTTGATCAGTTTCTGTCTTGTGAATATCATATATCTCTTGCTGACAATTTAGAAAGTGAAGTCAAGTCGAGGGATGAAGACTATTCTCAACTCTTTTCTGAAGTGCATAAATTTGATGATGGGATTTCCGAATTCAACAATATGGTGTCTGCAAATCAAGCGATGGTTACACAGTCTGATGTACTTAAGCTTAAGTTTGCTGAAGGGTCCACAATGAGCAAGCTTTGGCTTTTGAATTTGGGTGGCAGTGAGAGACAAGAAAAACTGAAGTTCAAGGGAAAAGTCTTACGGAATCTCAAAACATCAATAAATCTCTTTCAGCTCTTGGGTATATGATCTCAGCTTTGTCAAGAATTAAGGCTTTGGACCGGTTGGGACATGTGGATGAAGAGAATGCCAAGGCCGTATCCCTGCTTGAGAATGTACTGGATCTTAGTGATTCTATTGACGACGAAGCAATGGTTGCTGGAAATATATTTGGTCTTGTTTATGCACAGCTTGCAGAAGTTTTCTCAAAGTATAGTATGTCCTTTTTAGTTAGTTGTCAAAACCTTGTCCCTCGACCTTGGGTTATCAATGACTTTGACGCAGCAATGGTTGTTTGTGTAATATCTGAGTGCGAGCATTCGGGTGCATTAGACCATAAAAAATGTGTCCATACATACTGCAAAAGAGGCGGCTTTTACACCAACATATCGGTGAAGAATGCCTTGATTGGCATGATAATTGGTCTGCTATGAAAGGGAAATCTGTTGGAGCACTGGAAATGTTCTCACAAATGGAAGCGTCGAGTGATGTGAAGCCGACATTCCGCGGCGGGTTGTCTGCATGCAGTCATGGTGGGTTTGTGGATAAAGGTTTTCACCATTTCGGAGCCATTACTGAAATTTATAAGCTCAGTCCTCGAATCGAACAATACAGATGCATGGGGGATCTTCTTGGTCGTGCTAATCTGTTAAATGAGGTTGAAATATTCATCAGAGATACACCTATTGAACCTGATGTGATTATATGGAAATCTCTGCTTTTTGCGTATAGGACTTATGGGAATATAGTTTTGGCGGAGTTGGTTGCCAAAAGGAGTGAGGTGTTTGAATCCAAAGGGGCTTTTATCAAATTGCTACAGGACAAAGACCTATCTGTAAGATTGGCAGCTTGTAGGTCTCTTTGTTTGCCCAGTGAAGATACTAGTTTTTCAGAAAGAGAATTCATCAATCTTCTCCCTATCTGTTGGGATTTATGCCTTAAGTTGATTAAGGAAGTTCAGGAGTTTGACTCGAAGAAGGCTTGGGAAGAATCTGCCGATGAGTGCCTTCTTTGGATTCAACTTGTTGGTGCTTTGAGGACAGCAACTAATTGGGAGGGCTTCCACAATTCCATTTTAAGCCTTGAGGACAAGGCTAATTTTCAAGGGGGGAATATTGTTATGAACCCAAAATGTAATTGAGGTTTATACTTGAATTTGAATTGTTAAATATGCCAGCTGGCATTTTAAGGAGTATAGTCTGTATAAAAGGAGCCCAGCTTCCTCTAATAGGGAGAACAGAATTTTACAAAACAAATCAATACAAAAATATCGGAGCTCTGCTCCTTCTATCTTCCTCCTTCCTTCTCTTCTATGTGTAATAGTTAAGGTTTGAGTTAGGGTTTGAGATTTGGGTTCTAACACATATCCGCACAGTCACTGGAGCTCCGATCTGTGCCCACGACGGTCAGAGGAGGAAGAGCTAAAAACGGGACGATTAGTTTATAGGGTTTTGGTTTGGCAGAACGTTGGGACGGTTTCTGGGTCGATTATGTTTAAGGTTTAAAAAGGGGCCAATCAGCCGCTCAATATTACAGTATTCCTCTTTTACTTATAACTGATTTCAGTTTTATGTTCGATTTTAACCCCGTTTATTCAAAAAAAATAAAATAAAAAAGGGTTTAATGGATTTGGACTCGAAACGAGTCCACCCGTATATGGTATGATTTAATAATTTGATAAAATCTATAAAATTGTTGTAAGACAAAAATAATATCGTTTCTTCTTCAATAAAAAAGATTACATTTTTATTTAACTCAAAAATTAAAAATTTCATAAATAATTAAAAAAAAAAATATGAAATTGTTGTAGGAAATAACATGGAGAAATTCTGAGATAATTCTTTTTAAAAAGTGACTCTTCATATACTTTCTGTCACCTTACAATTTAACGTCAATTATCATACAACATTTGAAAACATTGTGCCAAAATATTAGGTGACAGATAATCCACGGAAAGTCTCACTTTTGAGAATATTTCTCATATTTGAAAGATGTGATAGAGGGGGATGGGGATAGATGGAGAAATGGGCTAACTGTCTTAGCATGATTTTTTTTTTTCTTGGCCTTATACTTTTATTTATACTAATCATAGGGTTTTACTTGTCCTACAAATAATATAAGTCACATAAGGAAAGGATTTTCTAGATCTTATAGGATTTTTATTTCTAGTTCACTAAAATCACATTCCTATAATAATACTAACTGCAACACTCCCCTTGGAATGTGTAGAACTAAAAAAGCAGTCGTATTGTGTTATCAGGCAAATGTGAAAGCAGTTGATGAAGTCTTCTCGTCAGGCATAGGCAATGCATACACAAGTCTCACAAGTAGGGTCCATAAAAAGTACAGTCTCACCAAAACCTTGCTCACTGGGAAGCTTAGTCTGAGGAGAAAATGTGAGTTAATGCAATGTCAACACTTGAGATAAACAAGCAACGATAAACGCACATGTCAAGGTTATAACTAGTCTAATATAAGTGCCTCGTTAAAACCTTGTCAAGTTAGTAAAAACCCAGTGAGAAAAAGTGATCTTGATCTAAAAGAAAAATAGTACATTAAGGCCAAGTGAGTATACTACAAGATACTCACATTGAGATGACAAAACTCCCCCTAAGAACTACCAATATTGCAAATGAGATAGTGTAGGCAATCCAACTCCTCGGACAAGCTTCGTGATGGTAGACTTTGACACTAACTTTGTGAAGAGATTGCCAAGGCTATCTTGGGATCTGATCTGCTTGACTTTAATCTTCTGATGCTTTGCTAATGTAGATAGCAACAAGAAGTTTGGCATAGCCACTTGGATCATTTGGTCGACATTGTCTTCATGAATAGTTGTTCGACAGTCTACAAGTGTTTCGAATATGCTCAACAAGAGCTCTCAACTGTGTCTACTTAGGTGTGAAGTAGTAAGGTATGGTGAGCTTAGCATGATTCGAAGACATTGTAAATAAGGTTTATTGTGTGGACTTCTAAGATTTGTGGTATTTCCAACAGTAAAGATATAACCTTTGTCCTTAAAAAATGTGTCTTGTAAGAGTTTGATAAGGAACACTGGGTCAGCATAACTAAGAAGGTAGTATTGCTAACTGACGATATAAATATTGCACGGAAAGTCAAGGCGAAAACGGGATAGTGAAAAGCAAGACATTGCTAAGGAAGAAGGTGAAAGAGCTGCAAGAAAAACCAGAAAATGGTTTTCACTTGTAATATTGCTTCCTCCCGTGGTTGAATGTTTCCATCAAATCAAAAAATATGTTAGTGGATTATTCAGAATAGCCAACAGTGGAATGAGAACGATACAAAAAACAAATGAAAGGGATATTCAATCTCAATTTCAATTTTGATCATATTGCACAATCTCTAATAAAATTAAAGAACAGACACACATATATCAAATGAATACAATTCCATCCCCCACAACCGTCATTGTGACAACTACAAATTACCCAACCAGAAATTTAGAACCCAGAACATAATCTATACCATTCTTGATTCAAAAACCCTAAATCCCTAAATAAAAAATTCACATAAATAACAAAAGCCTAATTCAAAATTACCAAAATTATGGCAGGCGACGGTGGTGAAAGGGTGATGATGATCACGACGGCGGTGCTGTCGTCTAGGAACCGAAATGGGTGGTGCTGAAGAGGAAGAGAGAATTGAGATGGGTTGTGTCGTCGTGGTTCTAGGACCTAGGTGCTTTGGGATATCATCAAGGAGGAGAGACGGATGGTGCAGTCGTGGTAGTCGTGATGGCGATGAGAAAAGCGAATACAGAGTTGCAAAGGATGATGTCATTGAGGAGGAGAAGACAAAAAAGTCTGGGTGGTATGGACTTTGGAGAGAAGATGGAGTCCAGAATCCAGATGGACTAGACTAAGGAGAATTAACGGGCTAGTTCGAGGCCCCATTATTCTTAATGTTAGGACTTGGCCCGCCTCTAAAAGACTAAGGCCCCGACCCACCCCGCTTATTCTAAAAAAAATTGGACCCACCCCGTACCCGGCTCGAACCTGGTCTACACACCTCGACCCGTAGTTTCTCTACCCGTTTGCCTACCCCTATGTACAACACATAGAAGCTATAGCTGAAATTATATTTTCATGATTTTCTTTTAGTTCCAAATGATTGGATCGAATTAGAATTAAGGGAGAGCTACTTTTGGTGTGAGTAATATAACCACGCTATTCTTGGACGTTCTTTGAAACTTGATAGTATAGATAAGGACGTCAATGCAATTATGCAAATATTAATTGGTCATTTCGGTCTCATGTGGTTTTGTAAATTTGTAGTGTAAGAAATTTCCGAAATCCTGCGAACAACAATAAGACGTTAGGATATGGATTTGATAAACCAAAATTATGATAAATCAATCACAATTAACTTAACTGTGGAATACGGAAGACATGACTCTTGATAATGACAAAGAAGTCTTCTACTTTCAGCAAACGGAAGTGTTATAACAATAATAGCATTTGTTCATAATAGTGTTCCTCTGATTCCCATGCGTTGAATGCTTTGCCCCAAAAACTGAATGAGCTTTATGCGACGAAGGCTTTGTCGCGCAAAGGTTCCGTGGGAAAATTTTCGTTGCTTATTTTTGCGCCAAAAAAAATCACGCGTGATTTCTTACTGGCTTTGTGCGACGAACTTCTCCATCGTGCAAAGTTGACCAACGTTGCGCGACGAAGATTTTTTTTCGTTGTGCAAAACGTCTTTGCGCGACAGATTTTGCTTTGTCGCGCAAATAGTTTTTCCTACTAATGTAGCCCATTATGAGGTGTAGCCCCTCCTCCACCCTCTTAGTGTACATCATATCATTTGATTAAAAAAAATATGTAATCTAACACATGTTTTAATTAAAATTTTCAATCTTTTCCAATGGCTAATTTTTTTTTTTTTAACAAACGATATTATCTACACTAAGGGGAAGGGGAAATGTTAAGCATCACGATGGGCTAGCAATCATGTGGTTCAAAGTCGTCTTTGGCGATAATCGAACCTAAGACCTCTCACTTACAAGTGCAGAGAAATACCACTAGACCGATAGGCTAAAATTTAAAAACTAGATTTTAGTCCTTAAAATGATTACTTTTACATAAATACCGCAAGTAAGATTAAAAACTAATTTTAATCTTTTGACTCGTGTCCAAATCAACATTTATATTCCACGTCATATTTTATGTAATTACACCATGTTTTTTCTTCCTATATAACGCCTAAATATTGCTATTAAATGGTTTTGCAATAGAATGAATTTTTGTTTTTTAATTCAAAATGAGCATCCGGCATTTAAAGATGCAACATCAAAAGAATTAGAGATTAGACTTCTTCCTAGAAAGAGATTAGGCTTCTGCAATTGAAAAAGAGATTAGGCAATCATCTATATATTGGCTGATTTCTTCACATACATCTGCTAATTGCGATTTTTCCCTTTTTTCTCATCATTTGCATTAGGTCTCTCTCTATTTTCTTTCTGTTGGTTTTGAATGGCATCTGGCTTGTGTATCTAGATGAATGCCAACATTTGCAATGAAGAGAATGGATTCAACTTCAGCAACTCTTTTAGATGAATGCCAACATTTGCAATGAAGAGAATGGATTCAACTTCAGCAACTCTTTTTGTGGCATTGTGCTTGTGATATTTCTTTTTTTTATTTTTTATTTTGTGTTGGTTGATTTTATTATGGGGTTTTGATCATTTTGCTAGTGTATGAATTGTTGAGTTGGAGTTGGGATTGGTCTTTTGCATCTGTATTTGATTAGGTACGTTTAGTTAGATACATTCGATTAGGTACGATAATTTAGATAAATTTGATTAGGTACGATAATATAGATACATTGGATTAGGTACAATGATTTAAGTAGGTAGTGTGATTGGGTGTTTTCAACTGAGTACTATAATTTGGACCAGGATCCTCGCCGGATCCTTCTCTGCGGATCCACTGGGAATCAATCCATCCGAACCGTTCAGCTCATATCCTACGGTCCAAGATTATTTTGAATAATTTTTTTTTTTCAGCTTCCGTTTCTCACTCTCTCTCCCTTCGTCCCCAAACCCCTCGGCATTCTTTATTCTTGTCCCATTCCAAAAGGCCAAAAGGAAGGATTAATCAAAGAATTAACCCATCAAACAACCCAAAAGACTTCTCATATACCCAAGAATTAATCCATCAATTTCCCAGAAACCACAAACAAAATCTTTAGCGACTGCAGTGGTTTCAAGCAAGAATAGGGGAAAAATTAACGGAAATGGATTTGGGAAAAATTTTAAGGGCAGACTCCATAGATGAAGAATTCGAATTCTGCAATCGGTCCGATAGGCATATCATTCGGCCGGCTTCATTTTCCACTTCGATCCCTCCGCCGGTGACCGATCCGGTCTTCGTACACCATCATCGCCGGTGGCAGCGAGAGGAAGATGGGCCTGCTGGTAGCGAGGGCGAGGGTAACGAGGTCTGCGCTGAACCTTTCCCTTCGTCCCCCAAACCTCTGCTGAGGAATACTTGGTCGTGAGGGCAAGCTTGCAAGGGTTGCTGGGTACTGAGTTTTGGGGTGAGAGAGCAGGAAAGAAACCAGCTGGAAGAGGCAGCGTCAGCGCCTTCCTTCCTCGGGACATAAATTGAAAATATTTGAGGCCGCACGATTTGAATATGTTTTGAAACGACTATGATGATGTGGTCCGTTGGCTCCGTCTAGAAAACATCCGGATGGGATCTGTACCCCTATAATTTAAGTGTGTTTAGCTAGATACTAATATTTAAATACATATACTTTTTTGGTGTATTATACGTGTGATGCCTTTGACTTTTTTCATCTTGTAATTTACACATGATGATATGAAAAAAATCTTTCCAGGCACTATAATCATGGAAGAAATCAAGCATAAATTAATCAAAGTCAAAATTAGATCCTAATAATGCAGAACCATACCAAGAAGGTCGAATAATTAATTATAGGGGCACAATGGAAACAAAAAGAGCCATTAAAGAGTCTAAAAACAACAAAATATGAGTTCTAATAATCATGATGACATGGAGGACTAAGATCAAATATCGCCACTTATTATTAAGATCTAACGGTATTCCTATTCACTTGTAAGTAAGAGGTTTTAGTTTCAATTTTTTTTTTTTTTAACAAACGATATTCTCTATACTAAGGGGGAGGAGGTTGATTAGCCTCACAGTGGACTAGCAATAATATGATTTAAATTCACCTTTGGCGATAATCGAATCTAAGACCTCTCACTTACAAGTGAGGAGGAATGCCACTAGAACGTAGTACTAAATGGCTAGATTCGATTCTTTAAATCACATTATTAATGGCTCATTATGAGATTTAATCTAATAGAAGGATTAAAATTCATTTACCCCTTATTTTATTCACTTTGCCAATATGGACGCAATAATTGACATATTAGGTTACAGTTCATTTAGTTCTTGAGTCCATTCAATATTTGAGCCACTTCAGTAAGAGACTTGGCAGACGATCCTTCTTCTTCCCAAACCAATTTGGCTGCCTCTTTATACCCTTCCATTTTCTTCCTTAGCAATTTCCCTTCATCTCCTTCAATTATGTCCCTTACATACTTAGCAATATCTTGGCTCCCCACTATGCCTTTCTCATCCGCTTTGACCCCAAATGCAACTTTCAAACCATCAACTAGAAGCACCTTATTCATTCTTTGCTCTGCATAGAGCGGCCAAGCAATCAGAGGCACACCATGCACGATGCTCTCTAGTACCGAGTTCCACCCACAATGGGTCAGAAATCCCCCTGTCGACTCGTGGCTCAGCACTTGGACCTGTGGCGCCCATGATGACACAACTAGGCCAACATCTTTGGTCCTCTCCAGAAACCCGTTTGGTAGAAACTCAAACGGGTTCTCCCCGCCTTTGACAGTAAAGTAAGAAGCATTGTTAGCGGTCTCATTTGGGCTCTTGACAACCCAAATGAATCTTTGCCCGCTTAATTCAAGCCCTAAGGCCAACTCATTTAGTTGTTCTTGTGACAGTGTTCCACCGCTCCCAAATGAAACAAATAGAACTGACCCATAGGGTTGCTTATCTAGCCACCTCAAACACTCATTTGCGTCTAACCCATCTGTTGAACTGGTTTTTATAACCGGTCCAATAGGATAAACTGGTGGAAGACATAGACCTAACTCTTTTTCCTTAAAAGCCTTGAAAGCACCAGGTTCCAAGTCCGCAAAGCTGTTGACCATAATCCCGGCAGCCGACCTGCACTTTTTGAAAATATGAACTACAGCTTTATAGACCGGATTGGACCGATCTTGAACAGGGTCTAAGAAATCTCCACCTTGGATCGGCACACAACCAGGAAGTAGAACCGGTTCGGGCAAGTCTCTGTACTCGCATGAAGTGGTCTCGTCAAGATGTGGCAAATGAAATAAAAGCCATAAACCCATAGCGTTAGTAGAAAAGAAAATATAAGGGGACAAGTGGAACTCATTAGCCACATCTAAGGCCTCCGCACCGAAGAAATCAACAACAAGTGCAACTAGACGAGTTGACTCGTTTAGGACCTTGAGTGAGTCTCGAAGAGCCGAGAGGGATCGAGTCAAGGTTAGTGTGATCTTGGTCTCGATCGTGACGTCAACAGGGAGGTCATGGAAGCTCACAGGAGGGAGGAAGACGTAGGAAATGGACTGGGAATCGAGGGCTTCAAGGACTTTCTTTTGGGGAGCCAAGTGCGAGCCGTCGTTGGGGATGATGAATGTGATGGAGAAGTTGTGCTGGATGACGAGTCGTTTGGCTAACTCGACAAGGGGAATGAGGTGGCCTAGGCCTGGAGTTGGGACGATGGTAACATGCGGTGGTTTGATCAGTTTATGGTGGTCGTTGTGGTGGTGGTTGCTGCTGCGGTGGCTTTGGGTGTCTAATGCCATGGTTGCTATACGGATTTTAGTGTTTGATGAAATGAATGCAAGGAAGAAAAAGAATATTTATAAGGAAAATTGTGGAGAATAATTGAGAACAATGTGGTCGTTGACTTGTAAGTCTATTGCGGCCAGTTGTATTTATTTTTACTTGTAAATTAGAGGTTTTAGGTTTGATTTTTTTTTGTCAAGTGAGAATTTGGACTACATTATTATGGCTGATCCATTGTGAAGCTTAACTCATTTCTTTACCCTACATAATACTGCTTCCTTGAAGAAAAAAAAATTCCCTTCTTGTTAATATATTGAGTGTGGAATTTTTGGTGGTGTAGGTAAGTGAATTAGGTGTGAATATGATAAAGTTGATGGGGCTCACGACGGAGAGAGTTGTGTTTCTATTTGTGCTCTTTTTTTATCTCTTTAATCTCAGTTTACTAGCCTAAAGTTTTGTAGTTTTCAACATTTGGTAAATGAAATTTTTTTTTTTAACAAACGATATTATCTACAATAACGGGAAGGGGAAAGGCTAAGCCTCACAATGGGCTAGCAATTATGTGGTTCTAAGTTATCTTTGGCGAGAATCGAATCTAAGATCTCACTTACAAGTGAAAAGGAATACCACTAGACCGATAGGCTAAAATTTAAAAACTGGATTTTAGTCCTTAAAATGATTACTTTTACATAAATACCACAAGTAAGATTAAAAACTAATTTTAATCTTTTGACTCGTGTCCAAATCAACATTTATATTCCACATCATATTTTATGTAATTACACCATGTTTTTTCTTCCTATATAACCCCTAAATATTGCTATTAAATGGTTTTGCAATAGAATGAATTTTTGTTTTTTAATTCAAAATGAGCATCCGGCATTTAAAGATGCAACATCAAAAGAATTAGAGATTAGACTTCTTCCTAGAAAGAGATTAGGCTTCTGCAATTGAAAAAGAGATTAGGCAATCATCTATATATTGGCTGATTTCTTCACATACATCTGCTAATTACGATTTTTCCCTTTTTTCTTATCATTTGCATTAGGAGTCCCTCTATTTTCTTTCTGTTGGTTTTGAATGGCATATGGCTTGTGTATCTAGATGAATGCCAACAATTTGCAACGAAGAGAATGGATTCAACTTCAGTAACTTTTTTTGTGGCATTGTGCTTGTGATATTTCTTTTTTTTTATGTTTTATTTTGTGTTGGATGATTTATTATTGGGTTTTGATCATTTTGCTATTGTATGAATTGTTGAGTTGGAGTTGGGATTGATCTATTGCATCTGTGTTTGATTAGGTACGCTTTCACACTCGATTAGGTACGATAATTTAGATAAATTCGATTAGGTACAATAATATAAATACATTGGATTAGGTACTATGATTTAAGTAGGTAGTGTGATTGGATGTTTTCAACTAAGTACTATAATTTGGACCAGGATCCTCGCCGGATCCTTCTCTGCGGATCCACTGGGAATCAATCCATCCAAACCGTTCAGCTCATATCCTACGGCCCAAGATTATTTTGAATATTTTGTTTTTCAGCTTTCTCACTCTCTCTCCCTTCGTCCTCAAACCCCTCGGCATTCTTTATTCTTGTCCCATTCCAAAAGGCCAAAAGGAAGGATTAATCAAAGAATTAACCCATCAAACAACCCAAAAGACTTCTCATATACCCAAGAATTAATCCATCAATTTCCCAGAAACCACAAACAAAATCTTTAGCGACTGCAGTGGTTTCAAGCAAGAATAGGGGAAAAATTAACGGAAATGGATTTGGGAAAAATTTTAAGGGCAAACTCCATAGATGAAGAATTCGAATTCTGCAATCGGTCCGATAGGCATATCATTCGGCCGGCTTCATTTTCCCCTCCGATCCCTCCGTCGGTGACCGATCCGGTCTTCGTACACCATCATCGTCGGTGGCAGCGAGAGGAAGACAGGGCCGCTGGTAGCGAGGGCGAGGGTAACGAGGTCTGCGCTGAACCTTTCCCTTCGTCCCCCAAACTTCTGCTGAGGATTACTTGGTCATGAAGGCAAGCTTGCAAGGGTTGCTGGGTACTGAGTTTTGGGGTGACAGAGCAGGAAAGAAACCAGCTGGAAGAGGCAGCGTCAGTGCCTTCCTTCCTCGGGACATAAATTGAAAATATTTGAGGCCGCACGATTTGCATCTGTTTTGAATAAACGACCATGATGATGTGGTCCGTTGGCTCCGTCTAGAAAACATCCGGATGGGATCCGTACGTGTTTAGCTAGGTACTAATATTTAAATACATATACTTTTTGGTGTATTATACGTTTGATACCTTTGACTTTTTTGATCTTGTAATTTACGCATGATGATATGAAAATCTATAATCATGGAAGAAATCAAGCATAAATTAATCAAAGTCAAAATTAGATCCTAATAATGCGGAACCATACCAAGAAGGTCGAATCATTAGTTATAGGGTCACAATGGAAATAAAAAGAATCATTAAAGAGTTTAAAAACAACAAAATATGAGTTATAATAATCATGATGACATTGAGGATTAAGATAGCATAAATTAATCAAAGTCGAAATTAGATCCTAATAATGCGGAACCATACCAAGAAGGTCGAATCATTAATTATAGGGTCACAATGGGAATAAAAAAAGCCATTAAAGAGTTTAAAAACAACAAAATATGAGTTATAATAATCATGATGACATGGAGGACTAAGATCAATTATCACCACTTATTACTAATATCAAGTAGTATTCCTATTCACTTGTAAGTATGAGGTCTTATGTTTAATTTTTTTAATTTTATTTTTAACAAACGATATTATCTATACTAAGGGAATGAGGTGTGTTGGCCTCACAATGGGTTAGCAATAATTTGATTTAAATTCGCCTTTGGTGAGAATCAAATTTAAGACATCTCACTTACAAGTGAGGAGAAATATCACTAAACCGTAATACTAAATGGCTAAATTCGATTCTTTAAATCACATTATTGATGGCTCAATATGAGATTTAATCTAACAGAAGTATTAAAATTCATTTACCCCTTATTTTATTCACTTTACAAATATAGACGCAGTAATTGACACATTAGGTTATAGTTAATTTAGTTCTTGAGTCCATTCAACATTTGAGCCACTTCAGCAAGAGACTTGGCAGACGATCCTTCTTCTGCCCAAACCAATTTGGCTTCCTCTTTATACCCTTCCATTTTCTTCCTTAGCAATTTCCCTTCATCTCCTTCAATTATGTCCCTTACATACTTAGCAATACCTTGGCACCCCACTATGCCTTTCTCATCCACTTTGACCCCAAATGCAACTTTCAAACCATCAACTAGTAGCACCTTATTCATTCTTTGCTCTGAATAGAGCGGCCAAGCAATCAGAGGCACACCATGCACGATACTCTCTAGTACCGAATTCCACCCACAATGGGTCAAAAATCCCCGTGTCAACCCATGGCTCAGCACTTGGACCTGTGGCGCCCATGATGACACAACTAGGCCAACATCTTTGGTCCTCTCCAGAAACCCGTTTGGTAGAAACTCAGACGGGTTCTCCCAAACTTTGACAGTAAAGTAAGAAGCATTGTTAGCGGTCTCGTTTGGGCTCTTGACAACCCAAATGAATCTATGCCCGCTCAATTCAAGCCCTAAGGCCAACTCATTCAGTTGCTCTTGTGACAGTGTTCCACCGCTCCCAAATGAAACAAATAGAACTGACCCATAGGGTTGCTTATCTAGCCATCTCAAACACTTATTTGCATCTAACCCATCTGTTGTTTTTATAATCGGTCCAATGGGATAAACCGGTGGAAGACATAAACCTGCCCCTTTTTCCTTGAAAGCCTTGAAAGCACCAGGTTCCAAGTCCGCAAAGCTGTTGACCATAATCCCAACAGCTGACCTGCACTTCTTGAAGATATGAACTACACCTTTGTAGACCGGATTGGACCGATCTTGAACAGGGTCTAAGAAATATCCACCTTGGATTGGCACACAACCAGGAAGTAGAACCAGTTCGGGCAAGTCCCTGTACTCGCATGAAGTGGTCTCGTCAAGATGTGGCAAATGAAATAAAAGCCATAAACCCATAACGTTAACAGAGAAGAAAATATAAGGGGACAAGTGGAACTCATTAGCCACATCAAAGGCCTCCACACCGAAGACATCAACAACAAATGCAAATAGATGAGTTGACTCGTTTAGGACCTTGAGTGAGTCGCGAAGAGCCGAGAGGGATCGAGTCAAGGTTAGTGTGATCTTGGTCTCGATCATGACGTCAGCAGGGAGGTCATGGAAGCTCACATGAGAGAGGAAGATGTAGGAAATGGATTGGGAATTGAAGGCTTCAAGGACTTTCTTTTAGGGAGCCAAGTGCGAGCCGTCGTTGGGGATGATGAATGTGATGGAGAAGTTGTGCTGGATGATGAGTAGATTTTATATTATATATTTTACCCTAATCTTAGTATATTTTGGTTAAAATATTGGAAAATTTTTGATACTTTGAATTGTATTTTTAATATAGGACTTTCGACTTCCTCTGGAGCAAAACATGATCAAATGGACGAATTTTGGAGTAATTCCAGTTGGAGGACGTTCGTGAGTCACTTAGCTTGATCGTATCAAAAATTGGGATTTTTCCACCAAGCGGTTATTTTCCGACGATGAAATAAAGAAGCAGTGCGCAGTGCTGGAAAATGACGTTTTTGGGCTTAAATTGCGTTTTTGGAGCCCAAGATGACCTCGGATGGGTTCGTGGCCTTCTGGAAAAGTGTTCAGAATATCCCAAACATTAAATCCAGCTATATTGGGCCAGTTTTGGAGCAGCTTATGGGTCAAAACGTGGCTGTTCAGATTTTAGACGAATTTTATCATTTAATTTAGGGTTATGTTTCCTAGGGTTTGTGGAGAGGCTTGGCATATATATTGCTTGGCCGTCTATAGTTTTTCTGGACGCTTTATTTTATGCAATATTGGAGACAGAGAAGTGTTAGGGTTTCGAAGATTTTCTACTTGAAGGTGTTTTCAATCCTTTTCTTAAGAGATATTTCTATGATTTCAATTATGAATATGCGGAACTAATTTCTTTTGCTAGGGCGAAGCCTTGAGCCTTAGCATGAATATGTGATTTTTATTTAATTGCTTATGATCGATTGCATGCGTACTTTGAATTGTTAATCACCGGGATAAA